CCCATTGAAGTCCATGCGAGGGTTGTAGACTCTGGGCCTAAATAAGAAAAGTGGGGATCAATATTTGGTTGTACATCCCCTCATTATTTTTATTAATTCTCAGCAGTCTCTCACTGTATGATCTCTCTTTTCCCCCTTTCCTACCCCTGGAATGTCTGGTTCTTGGCCCCTGATGTAAAATGATCCTGTACACAACTGAGTGTGGTGAACTGTGCCAAATATATATATACATTTCCTGTTTTTTGGGAGAGGACCTTAATATTTTTAGCTACCTGCTCTAGAAAACTATGTGGCTTTTCTTCCCATTTGAAGTATGGGGAGTTCATGTAAAAGAAAATGGTTTTTGTTTTTATTCCCCTACAAGATAATATGTCCAGCCTTCCTTTGTTGCAACCCAACATAGCAAATTGAAAAGGTTCCAGAGCTTCAGCAAGCTAGAAATGAATCTCCTGTTTAGAGGTTAACTAAAGTACTTCTCCCTCTTCTTTAGGATGGGAATAGGGTTAAGAGCCAGGCAACCTGCTACCTATCCTCTTGCTCCCTCCGCTGTGCAGTTGTGCACAAGCAATAGACTTAATCTCTTTGTTTTAGGAGTACTTGTGGCACCTTAGAGACTAACAAATTTATTAGAGCATAAGCTTTCGTGGGCTACAACCCACTTCTTCGGATGCATATAGAGTGAAACATTGAGGAGATATATAAGATATATATATAAGATATATATCTCCTCAATGTTTCACTCTATATGCATCCGAAGAAGTGGGTTGTAGCCCACGAAAGCTTATGCTCTAATAAATTTGTTAGTCTCTAAGGTGCCACAAGTACTCCTGTTCTTTTTGCGGATACAGACTAACACGGCTGCTACTCTGAAACCTCTCTTTGTTTTGTTTCTCAGAAGTTGATCTGCCTTTGAAGAAGGATGGGTTCACATCAGAGGGAACCACACTGGAAGCCTTGCTGCGCGGGGAAGGGATTGAGAAAAAAGTGGATACTAAAGAGGAAGACACTATACAGGAAATCCAGGTAAAAAGGAGCATTTATGTTGGCTGCACCATATGTTTCCATACTGGGACAGCAGGGCTGGCTTTAAGATTTTACCTTTCATTCTCCAAACCCAAACCATTTGTATCTTTTGCAATTTGTGTCTTTGTGTCAGAATGCTGTATTAATGCATAGTGATATCATACCCGTGTGCCACAGAATGTCATGAAACCCTGACACTATGTTGTAATGCTCAAAATAAATTCAGAATGTTGTATAACTATCCAGTAAAAGTGTCACAAGAATTGGGACTGCCTGACAAGTTCTTGATGGCTTGCAACCCAAACATGGCAGCATTGTACTTGTGAGATTATCAGCTACGGCGACTGACTAGTGGGGAGAGATGAGTCCAAACCATAAACTGGATCTCAACAGTCTCAAGCTTTGGGAGAGTTCAGATTTTGATCTTAAATTGGGCCCATAGCTACTGATTTTTTTTAAAAAAGGTGGCACTGGTCAGTCTGTTTTCTTTGTCCAAACAGAATGTCTGAAAGCAAATAGCATAAATGTTTTTTAAAATTCTTTCATCTTTAATAATCCCAGTTATTATTAGTAACACAGGCAGGGAAAACTTTATTTGTATCTTGCCATTATCCCTTTAAATATTAAATAATAAGGATTGCCTTTACCAATATTAAAAGTAAAAACTAGTTGCTGGTCTCTGGTATAGCTAAAATCCTGCTAATCTAAGGGACTACTGGAAGAGTTGTATGCAATATTCAAAATGAAATCTTTGATTCTGGCCAGTTTTGTTGAGGTTTGCAAACCTTTCAGGGAAGTAGAGGCAGATTTTGAATGAGCTGAAGGCAGCGTTCTGAATTAATTTACACCAATCTATGGTTTCTAGTGTAAATCACGTGAAACTGGCAAAACTTGGTGATTTTGGCTGAGATTCAAGTGTTGGGGTTTGTTCCTGAAAGTTGAAGCAAAACTCAAGTATGTGGCCAACAGAGATCAAAACTGAAAATCATGAGCATCAAATCTGCATAGCTCTGGCGTCCAGTCCTGCAGCCCTTATGCTTGCGAGCAGCCCCACTGAAATTTCACCTATGTAAAGGCTGCAGGATTAGAGCTACTAGTGACACATGTAAGGAAACATTGTACATATACATGTCTACATTTGCAAAAGTGACTTGCGATTTTGTAAGCCTCAGTTTTGGAGTGCCCAGCTTGGGACACAATAAAGGGACCTGATTTTTCAAAAGACAGATGCTCTGCACCTTGGTGCATCCAAAATGTAGGTATTGATTTTTAACCTGTTTTACATCCCTTTAAATGAGAATCTTCTTTTCTGTGGGATGGAAAATTGCCAAAGGGGAAGCATTCCATGTTCACAATGAGGTCTATGTGAAATGCCACCTTTGCCTCCCCCTTTCTGATTCTCATAAACTCAAAGCCCTAAAGACTCTATTACAGCAGCTTCCAAGGTCACAAGAAGTCATGGTGCAGCATCTTTATGAGTGCCTTTGGATGCTGCTGTGCAATCTGAGCTCCCAAGTTATCCCCGGCGTCAGCCTGAGGAAAGAGACTTCAGAGACAGCGGAATTGACAGCAGTCTTGGCATCACTGCATTACAAAGTGGGGAGAAGAGAAGTGTCTGTACAAGGAGCCTTCAGCTGTACCCTCTGAGCTGTGACCTGTCTTATGGATGCCGGTTTCATCACGGAGCTGACGTGAGAGGCTTTCCTGGCTGCTGTTTCCTGTGCAAGTGCAGCTTTGTTGGATTCAGTCTGCACAACAATTACTTTAACCGTAGTTCACTTTCTGCAGGTGGTAGGGATGGTTGGACAATTGGAGGACAAGATCATCATTAGTTCTTTGTGCCCGTGCAGAGGTGTAAGGGAGGATAGAGTGTGTGTATGTGCAAAGTTCCCTCTTACTCCTCTGCGTAGACTACACATTCTGCTAGTCTAGCTTGGGAAGGTCCAGAAGGAAGCAGTCTCTGTGGGGCTGCTACTCCTCCTCCTCCCATGCAGGTGGGGGAGGGTGGACAGAATCATAATTCCCTCCTTGGTCCCAGCTAGGAACTGCCCTTAACTATGGCCTGAGAGTAAACTTTCACACTAGCCCTTAATGTGGATTGGGAGAAAAGCAGGGACTCATTGCTTACCTGCATTGAAATATGGTGAATTGGAAGAGTGTTTTGGAAGGACAGAGTAGGAAAATAATAGATATTTTGCTAAAAAAAGAATAAGGATTGCCCCTCTTAAATAGGTGCAGTCACTATGGGCCAGATGTTCATCTGCTAGTTACATGAATTGAGATTTGGCCCTATGTGAGATCACTGTTGAACCAATGCCTCAAGTGGGGTGAAAACGGCATCATCTTTTGGAGTAGGCTTAAACCAGAGTCTTTGATCAGTCATTAAAAGTTGACCTGGCATTTTCCACAAGAATTAGAAGCATTACCTGGCATCCTGGCCATGCTCACATCCGGTTAATTGGTCTGCCTACTTTAAATTTGCCCTGCATTTTCAACTGGAGAAAGTATTCTACACTATCCCTCCTTAACACTGTTGTGTAGTGTTGCTGGTGCAGAATGGAGTTGCTGGAGTTGAAAGGCACTGTGAAAATTGAAGATGTTATAAGTAGTTTTCCAATTTTTTTACATAGCATTTATCTCTTCAGGAACAAAAATTCTTCAGGCGTCCCCTGGACTTTAAAAGTATGAAGTCGCCCCTACCAATATATGTAACTCTGTGAATTTTGAAAGAATAATTATAAGTGGTGATGGCAGTCACTTAATGTTTCCTCCTTCCAGGAACTAAAATTATGGGAGAAGACCAGGACTCACAATAGTTTGATCCCATAAATGGCCCCCTGAGGTGTTAAAAAAGAGAGAAACTTAAATCCCAAACCCTACAAATATTAGACTTCCCACCAAACTCTACAAGTTATTTAAACTTTTTTAAGGGACACCATGACAGATATAGCAATGTCTTGCATATCCTTGGGAGACATTATTAAATTAAGTTTAAGTATCTTTGGTGTCCATTATATTAAATGCAAAGTTTGTGTATTATTGTGAGGCCTGGGAGTTCAAAGGACTGTACTGAAAATGTGCAAGCAAAAAAAGGACTTTTGGGACAGTAACTGTGAAGTGGATTTCCTGGGGGATGCCTAGGGAGAGTTTAAGGTCAATTCCCCAGTTCTGGTTATGCAAAAACCCAGTCTTTTGAAGCTATGCCCTGAAGAGAGGGTGATTGCTAATTACCTGGTCTCGGAGACTGGAGAGCAAAGGCCCAGGCTGTATAGAGAAACAGCTGAACTGCTCTGCCTGGGTTCTGGTTCTGAATCTGATACAATTATGACCTTGTAACCACGGGGAAAACCCAGTTGTGGGTTTTGAAGGACTGACACCTAGCAGAGCCCTTGTTAGAGTTGGGGGGTAATCTCTGGTAAATTTTTTAGCATGCGTGCAGGTTCTTTTGTTTTTAATATGTTTCTCTGTAATGCTTTCACTTTAAGAATAAATGTGCTTGCTTAGAAAGAGCTATGTGGTAACATATAACTGTGGGCAACACGGGAGTGAGTGAGATGCAGGTCTCTGCCCAAGAGAGGTGATGGCTGGGAGCCGGGACCCTAGAAGTGGTGCCCTTGGTGGACCAGGGAGGGGGAATAAAGGTGCAATAGCCCTGAAACTGTGACAGATATTGTCCAATATCTTGGCTCAAAAATTTAAATGGATAAGATTATAATAATGTGGTGCAGGTGTTCCACCAGATTCTAAATCCCTTGTCAGTGAAATCTCTCTGTGTATTCTCTCCCAGCACCCCCAGCAGTCAATGCCTAAGGTACACAAGGCTCAAAACTAATGTGTTCTGCTCCTATTCTCCCTCTGCTGGCTCTGTAGCAGCTTTTAACTAATAATGATCTGGGAGACTGGATAGGTCAGAATTTGGTAACAGATTACAAATCCTTTCCATCACCTCTAACTCAGTGGTTTGAATCCATTTCATGGCTGAATGATGTTGCCATCTCAAGACTTAGTGGAGGCCTGTCTGACTGGAGCGAGGGGTTTCAGACCAGCTCCTAAAGAATAGGCACCCACATCATGACTGACGCTGGGTGGACCCTTGTTTGCTCTCTTACCAGAGATGTTAAGGACTGAGTGGGTTATGAAGATTGAATAATCCTTTCACCTCAGCAGGAGTTTGCTCCATCTCAGTATTGTGGGGAAGCTTGCACTGTCACTGCCTGTGCTATATCTGCTTTGTGGATGCTTCCAGAGCTACCAAATGGGACACCTTTCCCCAAGCATGGAATTCACAAAAACAGTAAAAATTAACAAATCCCAGGCACAATTTTGCGAGGTGATGAGCAACTGCTACTCCCATTGACTTCAGTGGGAACTACATTTGCTCAGCACTTTTTAGGATCAGGACCTCTTATTTCCAGAGCTGTATAGCTACTTACGGTACTGGTCCCCCAAAAGGATATTAATTTCAAGGGCCATTAGAAATGCAGAAAATGAATGTTTCACTAAATGGGAAAAATTGTAGACTACTAGGGAAAGAAATGTTGATTTACAGCTTCTAAGAGTTAATTTCAGAAGAGAAACTCCACGACCCCACTCACACCCCCATAGACTGTGTCTTGCTAGGGTCCTGGGATGTCAGCCTTCAGACTAGTATTTCTCAGGAACCATTTCCCTGAGAAAATGAGGGTGGGTGAGGGAGGAACTCTCTAACTCAGGGGTTGGCAACCTTTCAGAAGTGCTGTGCCGAGTCTTCATTTATTCACTCTAATTTAAGGTTTTGCATGCCAGTAATACATTTTAACGTTTTTAGAAGGTCTCTTTCTATAAGTCTATAATAGATAACTAAACTATTGCTGTATGTAAAGTAAATAAGGTTTTTAAAATGTTTAAGAAGCTTCATTTAAAATTAAATTAAAATGCAGAGCCCCCCGGACCGGTGGCTAGGACCCGGGCAGTGTGAGTGCCACTGAAAATCAGCTAGTATGCCGCCTTTGGCACATGTGCCATAGGTTGCCTACCCCTGCTCTAACTTTTGAGGGTGTTGGCTGGAAGGAATTGAGGATGCTTGGATATGATTCTGGCATTAGAGAATTAGTACACTTGTAATTTTAATAATCTATTTAGACCTCTTGTTTTCATGTTGTATTCATTTTTGTCTGTCTTCACCTCTGAAATCTCTTTGGGCAGGGACTGTATCTCTCTTTGTGTTTGAAGAGCACATTTTGGGCATTATCACAATCTCAATTGTAAATAATAATTGACCTTGTGTGTCTTCTAGCAAACAATAGTCTTTTCTTCTAAAAATGATTGTTTATTTTTTCCCTATAGAGAGTTTTGGAAAATGATGAAAATGCTGATGAAGTGAATGAGGAAGAGGAATTAGAAGAAGATATTCCAAAACGAAAGAACAGGCCCAGAGGACGGGTAGGTTGGGAATTTATGGGAGAGGAAAGAAGGGAAGCAAACCCCTAGTCTCATATTCTCAGTTGGTTTCTCTCTCTCTCTCTCTCTCTCTCTCTCTCTCACACACACACACACACACACACACACACACACACGCTGAAGTGATATCCATGTGGTAAATTTGAGGAATGACACAGTCAGTGGTTTTTATGTTTTCACATGTTTTAAGTTTATTTCTACCTATTACTAAGAAATAAGACTGTTGGGAGACTTAGAAGATGGAGCAAATTTATTATAGTGATGAATTTTTATTTTTAAAATAAAATCTAATAATGATGATTATTATTATCCTGTTATTACAATCCCCTGATCTTGAAATGCCATTCCTTACTAAAAAGATAAATGCAAAAAATATTTACAGTCCCATAAGCCAAAACAAAGTCATCTTTGATTTTCTGTTTTTTTGTTTAACTATTTAAATACATTTCTCTATGTTCTTCAAAGATAAAGCCAGCAGTGAAAGTTTGTAGTAGCACTCTAAGGGTGAAATTCTTGCACAATAGAAATCAATGTCAAAATTCCCCTTAATTTAAATGGGGCAGGATTTCACTCTCAGGAGACAACATCCCCGTAGTTTCCTATCGTGTCCTCTCACAGATCCAGCAGTAAGTCAGCTAAGTAACAAGGTCACAATTTTAAAACATGGAGTCAAAATTTTCAAATGTAGATCCCTAAAGCTAGCCCCCTAAATGAAAGTGAACATGATTCTCAGAGGTGCTGGGCACTTGCATCTGTCATTGACTGCAGTGGGAACTGCAAGGGCACATAATCTCTGAACATGCCTTTTGGTGTGCTTGGTGGATATTTTGAGATAAAAAATAGATAAAAAAAAAAATAAGATGAGCTGTTTGAAACCTCACTCATAACGTGCTTGTGCAAACTCTCTGTTGTTCCATTATTTCCGCTTCCTGCTCTTGTTCACTTTTGTGCTAAGACTATTTAAATAAAGATCAAAATATTTTTTTTTAATAATTGGAAAAGTGTATTTTTTCACTCTCTTCATTATCAGAAATGGCTGAACAGTTTGGCTGAATCTTTCTTTAATATTTTCTAAAATTTAGCCTTAAACAGAGCCAGAAAAGTGTGAGTTTCAGAAAATGATATGAACTAGTAACCAAAAACAGGTTAGAATGGATACACTAATACAACCTTAACTATAGCTATCACTAATACTTCAGCTACATGGGCCTTTCCTAATAAACTTCCTGTCACGGAATTTGGGCATGCCTGTCATTGGAAGTGAAGGACCAAATGGATAGCGAAGAAGATATTCAGGTTGTGCAAGGAGAATTATATTTCCTGGCATTCATTTCCATGCATCCTCAAAATTGAGGAGACTTGAAAGCTGAACCCGAGAAAGGACTGCACTTTGTTGCCTAGAAAAGTGGGATGGGGTATTGTTAAAGGATGGTAGACTACAGGGGAGGACATCCTGAAGAAAACTAGATTCTGCAAAGTTTGGCCCATAAACCTCTTGGCATTTGGAGAACAAATGAGGACTGAAGGCATTGACACAGGATTAATGCAGCAGAATTATTGCTCCGAACATTCCAAATTCTATGTGTCCCTTTCTTTTCCTACAGCATGATTTTATTTTTAATTCTGGACCCTACATCTGTCCCTCTGGCTACTCTCTCTGTTTGGCTCCATTAAGCTGCTTCAAATCTGCTCTGTTGAGGCTTCCAGGCTTCATACATCAAGTATCCCAGTCCCTGCTGCGTGCCGGCAGGAGAATGAAGGCAGCTGTGGATGACTGAATCCAACAGATTGAAGCCCTGACAGCATGAACGTGGCATTCAGTTTTGTGCCCCTGGGGTGACTGCCTGGTTTTCTGGCCCCCTAAGGCTAGGTCTGAAATAATGGAATTGCTAGTAAAAAGACTGAAGGCCAAGGAGATGGATTCACACAGAGAGAGGTTTTTAGAATCTTTGTTGGATGGAGAAAATGTGCAAGGAGCTGGGACATGAAATTTGTTAAAAAATATAAAAACAATGCAGCTGCACATGTACAGTACAAGTGCTCTTCAAGTACTTACTGGGGGGGGGCATTTTAAAAAATGCCAAAGGGGTTTAGGAGCCACGCCCTATTGAAAGACACTGACTTGATCTGAAAATCTCCCCATGTTCGATTTATGAAAAAGAGTATATGTGGTCGCATCATGAATGCTTTGCACTTGTATTTCTGTAAAGAACAGTTAGAAGGGAAACAGGTGGCTGTGAAATGCTAAGCAATGGATCTTAAATTGCCATTCTACTCTGAAAAGTGACTATATTAAAATGATGCCACCTTACTCCACAGATCTGCTCCCTGTGTGTCTTCAGAGTTATACTGCTAACTAGTGACAAAAATAAGTCTTTACTGCTCTTTTATTCCTCTTAGCCCTACAGAACCAATGCCCCTAGCCTGGGGGTTGGATTCTAGTCTGTCAATCAACAGAATTGTTTAAGGTCCAATCAGTTACACCTGTGCTAACCCACAGAAGAAAATGGGGTTGCACAGGTGTCACTAAGGGCCTGATTTGGCTTGTGCTGAGAGAAGGAAGGAACCCAAGCTTACTCTCAGAGCCTCGGGTGAGTTTGCAGAGCTGGCAGTCAGGAAAAAAAAATCTTTTATTTGTAAACTGAATCACTGAGAGACAATGAACATGGATCGCATAAAGCAATTTTTACAGAATCACTTTTCAGGGTAGACACACCCTTTAATTTATTCTTACAAATCTTGCCTCTTGCATGCACATCAGCTTCCTTAAAGATTGTGTTTGTAGTTACTATGAGGAGTTTGTGCACCCCTGCAGTTCATTTGATTTACGTTTGACTCACTCGAAGAGATCACACACTGGTCAGAATGTAGTGCCCTGCTTTGAACTCTGTTTGCAGGAGGCAAAACTGTACTGATCATACCTAACAGCATCCACCCCATCCAGCCAGTCACAAATTTGTCCCTTTCCTCCAAGATTGCAATAAAGATAGGCTTATTCCTACTCCATCCAAGTGGTTAAGAGGCTTTCTTGGGTTTGTTCTGGAGACCTGAGCAACCCAATGGGATGGGGTTCATTTTAACCTGTGCAGTTTATGTAAGCCCCTCTTTTCATCATCTCCCAATGATATGTAAGTGTAAAACTGTCCCTCGTGCCTTGTCTTCAGACCAATGATGGAATACAGCTCAGTTAACTAGAGTGCTGTTCAGTGTACATCGAGGAGATGCAAGGGTTAGCCCATAGAGCCCTTTAGTATTTGGGACACTAATACTATTTTCTACATCTCTGCATCATCTTCAGTTCTACCTGCTAATGCTGCTTCAATTTCATGTTCTCTCAAACAAAAAGCCAAGGGATTCAGAGCAGTTAGCTCTAGGAGGGAAAGTAGAAGCCAAGGACTTATCTATTTGGAAGACTGAAACAATTGAGGTGTGTTGCCTTTGCCTGGGGACTCAGTGGCTCAGAGTATTAGGAAAAGGCTGTGTTAACCTTCTCCCTTGAGATCACTAGTTCAAATAGAGATCAGGCCCAAAGTTAGTATCATTTAAAGACTGTCCATTGGCCTACATAAAATAATTTGGGGGGCTGGGTTCAGTTCCCAATATCCACATCACAACCACCACCATTGTAACTGGTGCCCAAATTGGCATTCTCAGCTGAGAATGGTGAAGATTGAATGGCATTAACACTGAACTCCATTCTTATTCCTGGTGCTCAGATCGCACTGATGCACGTATGCAGGGCAGCACTTTATGGATAAACCAAGGACCTCAGTCTCCTGGGCTGTTGGGCTAGCACCTTTCACCAGCACAAGATGTATTTTAAAAATATTAAAAGGAAAGAATCATACTTATTCCTCATAATATTATGAGCCTGTTTTCAGGCTGATTTCACAGTAGTGTTACTTCTAGCCACAGATGGATTTATGCCCTCCCATTCATTCATTGATTAGGCCCAATACTTGAACACCACCTGCTGTGACTTGACTGAAATATGCAGTGGCAGTGAGGCAGGAATCGTTATAGTGCTGTGACCAATCAGGTAGGGATATCTATTCTAAGGAAGCTCTGCCACATTGAAAGCTCAATAAATATACAGTGTGTTTTAGGAAAAGGCAGGGCCCCAGTAATCTGGTTACAATGATGTAACTCTACTGAAGTCAAAGATACATTTAGTCCATAGTTTATACTGGTTGGGGCAAGTTGAAAGTTGTGAGGGGCACCGGAATGGCGTTAACATCCTTATTCTCATTGTAGGCTCGGGGATCTGGAGGTGGCAGGAGAAGGAACGATGCTGCCTCCCAGGATGACCATGACAAACCTTACGTTTGTGACAGTAAGTAGCACCCAAACCACCAACTCTGCTTCTGGCCTCGTCCAACCAGCTCAAATGTAATCAGGGCTTCATGTTCTCCTTTCCAGCATAGAGTCCTGCTGCTCTCTGACTTGCATGTCTTTCACTTGCTGCTGTTGGGGTTTTTGCATGAAAGAAAGAAAGTGAAATCACCTCTCATGCTCTGTCAATCTCTCTCTCTCTCTTTGGGGCTTCTCTGCCTTAACTCTCTCTTCCCCCACCCTTGTAAGATTCACCCTCTATTTCTTTCTCTGTTTCAGATAGTTACAAACAAAAGCTTAACTCAAAAATCTCCAACAAAGGTACTTCACCATTGTGTATATCTCACTTATTTTTGTGGTGAGTCCCTTTCTTTCAAAGTCCTAACTCTCTCAGCCCTTCCTCAGACAGAGCTCTTAGGGACATCAGTGGGAGCTGTGCCTCAGTAAGCACTCATTAAAACCCAACTGCCCAGTTCTGTCACTTGTAGGGTACAAGTACACACCAAAGGAAGGTGTGATTGTAGCACAGGTAGGTATACCCATGCGGGCATTAATCTAGCTAGCTCAAGTACCAACAGTAGTGTATGTGTGATAGCACAGGCTTCAGCATGGGTTAGCTGCCCCAGTGCTGCCTGCCAGGGACCCTGGGTACACAGCTCAGGTGGCTAGCCAGTGCTGAAGTCCATGCTTCTGTATTGTCACTACTATTGTTACTCTAGTTAGCTAGATGAAAGCTAGCATGGATGGGCCTAGCCACACTACTGTCATACCTTAATTTGCTGTGTAGATGTACCCTGGCTCACTGTGAGTAGTAGCTGACTCTGTGATGGGTTCCAATGGGACTGCATATGAAGTAAGGCATTACTCAAAACGAGCAAGGGTGTCAGACTGTGAGGAAGAACTCCAGAATTTGACATAGTATGAATTTTTTTTACAGCTAGGATCTATCCATTGGCATTTTTTCTTCTTCTTTTCAACTCTTTCTCACTTCAATACATCCTATTCAGTGAGTGACATGCTGGGCCAAACCCCTGTCTTTCTGAGAAGCTCCCACTTCAATGCCTAGAATAGATTGTGTGTTCATTGGGAATCTGTGCTGTCAAATACCACCACTAACTAACCAAAGCTAACAGAGTGCTGTTGTCTGTTGAGTCGGTTCCAGGATATTAGAGAGACAAGGTGTGTGAGGTAATATCTTTTATTGGAGAAGTTGGTCCAATAATAGATATTACCTCACCCACCTTGTTTCTCTGAAAGCTAATAGAGTCAGGAGGAGAGGTGACCATCTTCACTTCACAGCTCCAAAAGGTTTTGGTGGGGTTTGGGATGAGTTGGTACGCCCACTCCTTTCTGCCCCCAACCTCCCAACTTCTTCAGCCCCAAAAGACCAATAATCACAATAGTTATCTATGAATCTGTAGTTTTTAAAAAATGAAGAAATCTGGAACATACATGAAAGGTTTATTCCCCACAGTCCAGCCATGCTCTTTCATGGTGAGGTTGGGTGACCCTTGTATGGTGTTGTGACTGGCATTCCAAATGTCTTGCTTTGGCAATGCAAATACTATGGGGACTCTAGGGATGGAGGGAGAAAGGAAAGCCTTGAGTGGTCTCTTAATATGTTTGCACATGAATATAACCTGATCACAGAAGGAGGAGCTCTTTAGGGTGAAAGGATGGGGGGCACCTCTGCAGGTTTATATTTAAGGATCTGTTTTTACGTTGGAGGGTTGAAATTTCCCCTTCTAAGGATTGTCCAGAAGTCCAACACATATTTTCTGTTTAAAATCCTGAGCCTTTCAGTGAGAGTGGATGTGTGTGTGGGATTGTCTGTATCTCCTTTCTTGGAAATGCCCCCACATGCAAGGGCACTTCTGTGGATTATAGGCATTTTGAACATATTGTGACTCTTTTCTGGTCACTGCCATTTCCCTAGTGAGAGTATAAATGATTTAGCTCAGCTGCAGGATCACCCAGGCACCTTAGTGACATGCAAAGAGGTGATTCACAGATAATATGTGACACATCAAAGATATCAAAGCAGGCAACAGAAATCTGAGCTGAAGCCAAGGTTATGGTGCATGTTGTACTGATGTAGTTTTGCCCATTCCTAATTCCTGGTTTACATTTTAGAGCATAAATTTACTTTTTGGTTTTGAAAAATAAATCTTTCCGACTCCCTTTGGCTGAACTCTTTCATTTTTAAGAAACATCTGATCAGAAGGGGAGGACCAAGGTATATGGCTAAGAGAAGGTTGTTATAAGTCACAGAACTCTTTTACATTACTATGGGGGACCGGAGAGAGGGTTGCTCCAGCTATAGTGCCATCTTCTTGTGTGTCATCTTCTCCCTCCCTTTTAATATCCATTAGAACTTATATAAATAATTTGTAGTGAATAATTTATTTGACACATTTAGACCCCTTTTCTGTTAATGAATTGTCAGCAAACAGTTTAAGATTTTTAAAAAATTATTTCTTCTTCAAAATTATTTGCCAAATATTTTCTACAATTATATCTTGATCAGTAGATTGTTTGGGAGAAGTTAATTCCCAATAGTCAATGTACAAATTCACAGCTAGATTGATTAGTTTTAGATGGGAGCATGCAGGTTACAGAGTATCGTTTCTGTTCCCTGTCTCATTACTCTTAGAATCACATTACTGGTGTGAATAATTGCCTTCATGAGTCCAGAATTTGCTTTTCCTGTATATTCTCTAATTTTCACTCCAAATTTTCTGTTTCTGCAAACATGCCTGCCAGGAAATTTGTTTGCTTGAATGTTTGTGGAAAGTGAACAAACACAAAAGGCGCACAAACAGAACTGAATTGAAGTATTATTTATTTATTTAAAGGATATAGTCACAGAAAATTCTTTCAGGAATTTGACCAGCTATACTTCCCCATTTATAAAACTATGCTTATAGGAAACAGAATATATGTCAACAGTTGTCAGTACTCACATAAAGGTCTGTGAGAAGCTACCTGTCCATGTGTCAGCAGCATGGCTGTGAAGGAGCTAACCCCTGAGGCTGGGTTAGCCTCTTCACCTCTGACTTCTTGCTGGCAGACCTCCTTCCACTGGAAGAAGGGAATGCTACTCCAGAGAAGGAACTCAGCCCTGACCAAGTGGGGACAGGTAATTGGTTACGTGCCACCTGAGCGGATTTTGTCCAGTTGGTTGGTCCAGAAATTAGAACTGCTTGAAAAATGGAATTTTCGTCCCTCAGCAAAATTTGGTTTTGTTCCAAATCGAGATGAAAAGTCAAAAACGTGGAATTTTTTGTGAAATGAAAATCTTATTTCAATTTTATTGAAATATTTCATTCTGACTTGTTATACAACATTCTATAATGGTTGAAACTTTTTGACTTTTTATATTACATTCTAATATAACATAAATATTGAAACAAAATGTTTTGATAATTTCTCATAAAAAATAACATTGATATGTTCCCGGGAAAAGTTTCCATTTCATTGTATCAGCATTTTCTGATGGAAAACTGGTCAGTCTGAACATTTTCGACCAGCTCTACCGGATACCCTTGAAAAGGGGGTTGGAGAATGGGACTGAGAGGAGACCATGTGGGAGGGCTGTAGGCAGGAACGTGTACTACTGCTTACAAACACAGCCTGAATACATAACTAGGAGATAGACCAGAGATAGCCTGGATGTATGGCCTCAGGTAAGGTGCCAGGGTACCAAACCATGCTAGAAAGAAGACCCAACAAAGCACGGGGAAGACTGGGGAGCTCCTACTACAGCAGCTTCAGATGAACAACAGGGTACAAGTTTCAAATGAAGGGCAGAGTGAATGAATGAATGAATGTATAAATGACAGTAAAGGACAACTGATGACATATGGTCATAAATGTTGCCCCATGGGATCCACCAGCAAGACTAGTCTCACCACAGCTGTGTTCTTATCCATGATTTGGCTGTCTTTGAAAATCAAACATCTTCACTCTGGTAAAACTTCATCAACATTATATGGAGTTTCATAGCATGAGTTCTGGAACAAAAAAATGTGAACATCTCTAGCTTCTGAACTAGATGAATTGATGTTCTTCCATCTGTCTGAAGTGGTCCACCTGTGCTAAGTCATCTAGACGCTACGTAGGGCAGGTCTACACTGCAGCTGAGAGCATGCTTTCCAGCCTGGGTAGACAGACTCATGTTAGCTCTGCTTGAGCTAGCTCACAAAAAATAGCACTGTAGCTGGGGGCTGCACGGGCAGTGGTGTGGGCTAGATTTGTTCTCAGATGGCTAGCCCAAGCTGCTACCTGTGCTACCCCCAGCTACACTGCTATTTTTAGTGTGTTAGCTCAAGCATTGCTAGCATATGTCTATTCATCCGTGCTGGCAATCACGCTTCCAGCAGCAATGTAGACATTCCCTTACTCTTCTTCCTCCTTCTACTCCTTCCCCCACCTCACTGTAACTAATCTGCAAATATACTTACTTGCATCTTCTTTTAAATTCCATTGTTCTTTTCCTGTACTCTATCTTCACATGTGGGGCTTCCCTTTTCTGCTTCTGTAAAAGCAGTTGCTGCATGTAACTTTGTCAAGCATTTCCCCTCTCTAGTCTGTCTCACTGTTTCTTCTCATCTCTGTGTAGCTCTTCCTCTCTTTATAGTGCACTTTGATTAAGACAGCTTACTTTATATAGCATCCTTTGTACACAGACTCTTTGAGATTGGGATCCCAAGTGGACCTTTTAGTCCATCCCCTTCACAATGGCAGAACTGGTTTAATTCTTCCTATCATCCCTGATGGACCGGTGACTAATCCAGACTTGAGTGTCCCTAGTGATGCTGATTCTTGTCTAGAAGCTTGTTCTGTTGCCCCAACTGTCCTTTTGGTTATCAAGTTTCTCCAAATATTTAACCTGAATTTTCTCTGCTGCAGACTTACACCCATCACTTTGTATTCTCTTCTTGGTGCCTAATGAGAATAATTGTTTCTTGGCTTCTTTATATTATCCTTTTCTGTATCTGA